ATGTTCATTGATGACTGCGGAGAGGTCTATGTATAAATCAGTGTTCTAAATATCGGTTGTGGCGGCCGATATATCGGCCGCCATATCAGTGGCGGGCATAAACCTTTACGATATTTGTGTGGCGGTTTTGAGAATCGGATTTTTGACGGTGAGGCGGTCCGAGGCGGTATGTGGCGGTTTGTGGCGGGTCAAACCGATATATCGGGGCAGGTCAAACGATATATCGGGTCAAACTTCGAGCGATATATTGAAAAAATATTTTTTTCTAATTTTTATTTATTTATTTTTTATTACAAGGAAAATAGGGAGTTTATTATTATTATTTTTTTCAATTCCAACCCATTATCTTCTTAATTCAAACCCAAACTCAGCGACCCCGTAAGAAAAACCTGGCCTAAAAAAAACAAAAATACAAAACAATCCAGACACCGCGGCGGCATTCTCAATCTCACTATTAATGTTAAACTTTTGTTATGTGATTAGAATTATAAACGATGAGGAGAGAATCAAGTTCAATTTTGTTTTATACGTTTTAAGTATTTATAAACAATATTTATAAATATATTACACTAAATCAAAAAACCGATTTATTTTCGATATATCTCCGATTAATCACCGCCGCACCGATTTATCGTGTGGCGGTCCCGAACCGCCTCGGACCCGATAACCAATATTTAGAACCTTGGTATAAATAGAGAGAATGTGATGAATTTTATAAAGAGTATCAAATTAACTTTTGGGGTAATATGCATGACATCCCTCAAACCAAAACTAGTTAAATGTAGGGGGGGACAAGATTAATTAGAATTTTTTATTATTAAATCATTAATTATGAATAAAAATTGATACACATCCTTTTAATTTTTTTAAACACAAACTACCCTTAATATAATTAATAAAAAGTTACAGTATAATCTCATTATATCACTTCTCTCTTTCGCCCCCTCTCTCTATTCTTCCGCCGCCCAACTTATCCTCCTCTTCTCTCTCTCTTTCTCTCTCTTTTTCTGTCTTCTTCCGCCGCCCAACTCCTCTTCTCTCTCTCTTTCTCTCTTTTTCTCTATTTCCCCACCCTAATCTCTATTTTTCTTTCTTTTTCTTTCTTTTTAATTATTAGATCTGAGTTTTTCAAAATGTGGAGGGGAATAATAGATCTGCAATGAACGTCGGTGGTGGCCAATTCAGACGCGCTTGTGCGGCGGCGCCGATGTCCCTGTCTCACCTTGACTGGGGAAGTGGCGATTGCATCACGGAAGGGCTAGCTGGCGAGATGTGTGTCTGCGTAGATATTTTTGTTGTTTTTTTAGCGTGACTAGGGCTGGTTATGATGAATTCATGATATGTGTGCATTGAATTGCATATACAGCGAGGACGGTGGCTGGTCACGTTTGCTAGGGTTCCAAATGGCAAAAGTAGAGTTTTGAAAATGACTCTAGTTGTCTACCAGACTACGAGTGTCTAACAACGATGTGAATCGAAGAATCAGCTGTTAATGAAAGCATTTTTTCGACTAATTGCATCTGATTATCTTTTAAGAGATTTTGCTTGGTATGACCGTTAGAGTTTGGGGGCAGATGCGTTTGGCTGCTAGGGTTGGCGACGGCTGGGAGTTATTGGCGGCTAGGGTTTGATAATACATCATAGTAAAATATAGTATATTGTAGTATAGAATAGTACTATACTATAGTATATCGTAGTATACTATAGTCTACTACAGAATAATATCTATACTGGATTAAAAAATGAACAAAAAAAATAGCATGCTTTTGTTTTTGTAATAATATTATGTACAAAAAAAAGGAAAAAAATAATTTTATTTTTATAATTTTGTATAAATGATAAAATGAAAAAAGAAAAGAAAAAAAATTAAAAAACGATAGACGTCAAAATGAAACTATTAAATGCAGAATAAAATAATAAATGCAGTTCGAATTTACTAAATGCAGATTTTGAATTTGTGAGAGGAAGGGCATTTTTTGGAATCAATTTTATAAAGGATGTGAAGCAAAGGTTTCGTTGAACTTGTCATTTAGTTATATAAGTTTTGTCATCGGAGACCTATATCCTAAGACCCCTCAACTTTTTCTAAAAAACAAATACCTAATATTTTTGTTTCAAGGGTTTTAACATTTTCTTATTTGAAGGTTTTAAACATTTTATAACGGTCAACAAATTAATATCATACATTGGATGAATTATTTCTATATTATTGCTAAATAAAAAATATTTATTTAATTATCATAAGTTTTCATTATTCTAAAATAGTTAATTTATTATTTTATTATTTTTCTATAGTATGTGTAAAATATTCTAGAGTTTTCAATATTTTCAATTATTCTTTCGACAATCGATAAGTAAAATTATTTATTTTAGTTTTCGTATTTGTAAGGAAATGGTCATATGTCCACCTCTTAAATCTTTCTTTGTGATAACTCCCTGGAAATTTTATTCTCAATTATACCCTTATGTCAATTAGCATAATTAGTCCGAATTATTCATTTTTTCTCTCTATTTCCATAACAATAATCTAATTCCTATAAATCTGCTTCAAAATCCTAAAAATTTGCTACCAAATCAAAAAAACAAATTAATTTTTTTATTTTTTATTTTTTATTATTTTCTGACTTTATTTTGCCATTTTTTATTTATTTTTATTCTTTAATATTTTTGTTAATAAAAATATTTATTTTTTTATTTTTTATTAATTAAACAAAAATTTGAAATTTTGTCCCAACAGGTTTACAACGCGGAGTATGACTATAGTTGAATATGACTATATGTGACTATATTAACTGTAGTCATATTCTTTCTTTATATTGCAGTTTTTTACATTTTCAACTTAAAAATTCCGATATAGTCATGTTTACCAAATTTTATAAAACAACAAAGATTCCCTATTGTTTACGAAAACAATCTAATCAACATCCACACAAAAAATCACAATTTGAATCTAGTTATTATAAGTCAACTTGAAAACTAGAAGATAGAACATATTCGAATATAACTATAGTCATATTCAATAATAGTCATATTCGAAAAGTACATAATGTGACTATAGTCATTTTCGAATATGACTATAGTCATGCTACTGCTGGCTTTTCAAATCTGAAACTTTTCAGATCTGAAACTGTATTTCAGAAATGAAAAAAAAAAAACAAAAAAAAATCGAATAATACATAAATAAAGATAGAAAAATAACGAACGAGAGGGAGGGGGAGTCGACGACAACGGCGGTGGTGGCGGTGGTGAAGGACAGAGAGTGAGAGAGGCGGCTACAGTGGTGGTGGTGGTGGTGGACAAATTTGAAGAAAAAAAACCCTGAGAAATCGAGAAAGATAACGAAAAAGAGAGAAAGAGCCTTACGTGGAAACGAAGGAGGAGGTGGCGGCAACGAGCGGCTACAGTGGTGGTGGTGTACAAATCTATGTGGAGACGATGGTGGTGTAAAGAGAGAGAAATCGAGAGAGACAACGAACACGAGAAATTAATAAATCACTAATCGAGTGAATCAGCAATAGCCGTATTCGAACCAAACTATAGTCACGTTAATGTTACTATTTTTTTGTAATTTTGAACTAGTGAAATTAATAAATTAATTTTAAGAGCAAGTTTTAGGATGCAAGTGCTGTGTAAATGGTTTATGTTTGTATGTATGGATTATGTTGGGATGATTGAAGTGTTTCTTACTATTTATAAGATGAGAATAAAAGGGTAAATCGATAGTTATTAAGACACTTGTTAAACTTCTTGAGACAATTGAAAGCGTCATTATACTCATTTAAAACGACGTTTATCAGCGTCACAAAAATAGGTAGTTATAGTTGGTGGGAATTAATAATGTGACGCTTATAGGCATCATAAAATCTATGTATTTGCGACGACGAAGCCGTCGTAATAGTGTAGATTTGGAGACGCTGGTTCCCGTCACTAAAAACTATTATGACGGCCACCTATGTGACGCTTTTGTTCAGCGTCACAAAATCTGAAGCGTCACAATAACTTAATGTAGTGACGATTTAGGGCGTCACGAAAGCCAATATTTTTATTGGCTCCGGCGGTGACGAGTGCACGAACAATGGTGGCTATGGTGAGCGGACTACGGCGGTGGTGTGAAAAAGAGGAAGGAGGGCGCCGACGGTTACAGATCTGCAAAACGAAAAAAAAAAAAAAAAAAAAAAAAAAAAAAAAAAAAAAAAAAAAAAAGAGAAATTGAGAGAGAGAGTGAAGGAGTGAGAGAAAATTGTATCACGTTAAAAACCTAACCATATAAGGGCACTTTAGTCTTATCATGCCTGATTAGGGGTCTCACTAATTAAGAATGAAACTTGGGTGTAAGCAAAAGTCTTTAAAAATCAATTGGATTTAGTTCAAAATAGTTTTCATTTAAGGGTGTATTGCATATTTCCCGTTAATTTTTAATATTTTATTTTTCTGAGATACATAAATTTTCAGATAATAAGTGAAAAGCTGCTTGTTGATCCAATCAATTGAGCTCCATGAAATTCATGGGGCACTCCTTCAGGCACTGTTACAACTATCTATTATTCTATTTGATGCAGAAGATCGAGTCTTATATGTACGATCGAATGTTAACCCGCTAACTCGACTTACTTCTTTCGTACAACTCATTCTTATTGACCATCCATTTATTTCTCTTTTAAAGAAGACCTCACTTTTTATATATGTATACAAAATCCAAAAATTCATTAAATCGACCATCCATTTATTTCAAATACTTGAAAATACCACAAAATCGAAATTCAGACCAGAACTCCCGATTTCATGCAGAAACTGTGATCGCAGTTTTGAATGCATACTTCATGGATTTTATGTGACTTCAATTTCGAAATATGAGGTTTGTATCCTGAAATACTATTGTAACTTTCAGAATCGACTAAAATTACACCTTTTGGTCTCAAAATTCTAACACTTAGGCTATTTTCTCTAAACGGGGCCAGAGTAATTTCGTATGCGTTGCTCTTGTCATGTGTACAGTTCAATAAGAAACTAACCGGAATCAGTAAGGAAAAGGCATATCAAAGATTATTATTCTTTCCAAGAAACTGTTTCCTGAGTAAAAGTCGATATCTTCTATCCTATAGACAACCTAACATCCTCGAAAATATATTTTTACCATAATTTACTATTAATAAATTACTTCAGAAAAAAGTAAAGATACAAAAATTCCTTCATGCTAAAACTGATGCTACTTTCTCTACTTGATCCCCACGCAATTCTTGAAAGTGAATCTCTTCAATCTCCTATCTCACGTTTTCGTTTTACTTTTTTTCCTTTTTTATCTCATGTTCGAATTTTCTATTCTGAACAAGCACTCTTTTCTCAGAGGTGAATCTGTGAAGATGGCCCTAATAAAATCTTCCACCTGCAAAAAAAAAAACAAAAAAAAAAAAAAAAAAAGAGAAACGCTAGTAATTTGCCTGTACATTTTTTCTTCATGTGAATTTTTAATATGCATTGTTGGAATTTTTATTATTAAATTTGACATTCCGTAATGTGTTTTCATACCTCTGATGGTGTGAAATTACAATCAGCAAGTTCACCACTCTCCCAGGCAGCAGTAATCAACTTCAAAGGCATGTCCAAAAGTTCTAGAAGGAATAGACATACAAATATGTAATTAAGATTTGCCCATATTAACGAATATTAACAAATATACGATAGAAGAAAATACCAGCCAATTTTCTCAACTTCCGAATGGATAATATAAAATATTCCCTTTCCTCTACGGACTCTTGTGCCGTTCCACTCAAGTCAACAGCCAACAGGGGCTCCAGTAAAGATGAGAGATGCTCAAACAACAATTGGATCAGTCTCTGAAGCTGTATAGATATATATATATGTAGAGAGAGAGGTTTCAGCATAACAGTTATATTTTGGGGATAAATATATTTTTTGTCTCTTCAGTTTACCTCGATTTCACAATTGGTCCTTGTTCACACACAAAAAAAAAAATTCAGATTTAACGTGTTTCAAAAATTTAACACTCTCGGTCCTTTCCGTCAATTTTCCGTTAGTTCCTAACAAATCAAGCATGTGACCATCTCACCAACCAACGGTAAATTCACGGGAATGACCAAAAGTTTTAAACTGTTGAAACATGAGGGGCCAGGTGTGTTATTTGTGAACATGGGGACCAAATGTGAAATCGGTGCAAACTTGAGGGACGAAAACTGTAATTTTCCCGTTATATTTTGTCGAAAAAGTTTTACTGTTCATGCATGTAACCTGCATTGTTTCTTCAGCCGCCATATCATCTAGGAGAAGTATTTCTTTAGCAATTCTTGAAAATACAACCTCTAAAATCATAGTCATGCTCTGCTCATAGACTGAAGGAAGTAATAGAGGCTCCCAGATGATGTGTACTTTCTCGACTATGAATGCAACCTTACAAAAAATCAAGGGAACCTCAGCAAAAGTGACTCATATTTAGTTTGAGAAGAGGAGATATAAAATGCAATCTTTGATGAAACCTGGTCGATACAAAACTTGGCAGATTCGAATTGTTTCATCTGGTGGGTATTTTGAAACCCGTATGCTCCATCAATAGCCTACTAGATCATCATTGCAGAATAACCAGATATAAGAGTTTGGCTTCGACAAAGAAGATATCATATAAAGCACGTGTACGTTTCTGTTACCAAAAAATGTACCTGATTCAAGTTATATATAACAAGCTGAACTTGTCGTTGCAAGACTTCTTCAGCCATGAGTTGAAACCTTGGAGCCAAATCAACAAATACAGCCAGTTCCTTCACAGAACTCGGAAAGTATGGGCGATACTGAAATATCAGAAAGGGGAGGCATTACTATGTCGATAAAATACATGTGCTTCAAATAAATAAGTATCATAATGTCATTTTCATTTCGTTTGATAGAACCTATTACACGTCAAATAAAGACAATAAAAACACACGGAAACAAAAGATGCTGCAATGCAATGCCTGATAGAAAACATATGATATAAATCATTGCAGACAAACGAAACAAATACACATAAAAAGAAGGCAAGAAGCATAACTAGAGAACAATATTTAAATTCCAAAATCATGAGTAACCCCATTACCATATGGGAGGCCACAATATTAAAAACCTTGAAAATCTATCAAATTAGTAGCTGTTTATTGTATAAAGTACGTCAGCAGCTGCCCTAAATGAAGAACTGCATTCTTACGATGGTACTTTTCATTCTTTCATTGCCTGAAATGTCTCGCCTATAAGTGTTTTTATACTATCGTCGAATTTCTAATCAGTAATTTTAGAAGAATAACTACAACGTATATTTTAGATATGTGAACATCAACTAGGCAAGTCAGGGAGGAAATGAAGAAATCAAGTTTGGGTAAAAGAGAGAACTTATCTCAGAACAGAAAAGAAAAAACTAAATTATAAATTATTCCTCAAAAATTAGATGCATGTTGCTTCTGGAATCAAATGGCTAATTAGAATTCTTCAGTCCCCCGGTATGAGCAAGATTGCGACAAAAATATAGAAACCTTTTCATAACTGATGGCAGGATGCAGTTCATGTGATTACAAAATAATACATATCTATAATAATACAAAAATCTTGAAGCAACATTATTAAGGAGGAATATATTCCAGTCATGCATACCTCAAATGCGAGCCCGAGAATCTCCTGAGACAGGTAAAGACAGTCGTTATGAATCAGAACAGCAGCCTGGTTTATGGAATCAAGCTGCCTTTGAAGCTACAGAAATTGAAGGAAGTACGTCATTATATTAATCACATTTCGCAAAAAGATCATATGCAACATCATCTCCAGTATTCTCAGAGGATGAATTGAAAGACTTAATTAAATCTAGCACAATAAGAGCCTTATAAAAATCTTAAAGTTGGTAACCCTTCGTTCAATTGCCTTCTGCACTAACCTTCACGGGTATGATAGCTTCGTAAAGAACTAGAGCATTTCTGGCAGTGTGATAGAATTCCAACCCCACTTTTGGAGGTAACAGGCACACATCCTACATGCGCCACTCTGATTAGAATGATATTCTCAAAATGTGTGAATAGAGCATGAAGATAAATGATATTTATACACAGAACAAGCGCATACTTGCATATACATGAAGGAAATCCAAATGCAAATTTGTTGAAATGCATGTTAAAAGAAGAAATTCAGAACGCTCGGTTGACTACTAGAAAGTCAGATTTCAGTTGCTAAAAATTCAATGCTATGTGAAATAGACTTATTTAATAGAGCATTGACTGCAGTTTGATCCTGCAAGAGTGGTCTGTTTTCATTTGTGGAACCAACTTCTCACATTTTTCAAATTGTTATACACATGGAGAATGCCAAATAATCCTAGATATTGTCTCCTTACATTGACTTGAGACCCAAATACTCGACAACAATATGGGACATTTGCCCAAACACCCCCTGAAAACATGATTATCAGTACGTTAAACTTAAAATGAGTTCAACTCTATTATAACATGCAACATGAGAGTTTTTATCACTATGTAAAAGATTAGAATCCTTGATAAACCGCCGATTAAAGTGAAAAGCAAAAACCTTGAGCAGAAAATGGATGTCAGCATTGCATTTGACTAACCGTAAGTGTTTGATGCACAAGCTCCATAAGTTGTCTGGCTGCTTCAGACACCACACATTTCTCGGATGAGAACAGCAAAACAACATGATTAGCGATATTTTCGGCGTGCTCTTCCTTATTTATCCCCGATTTTTTTGTAATATAGTCCTGCAGGAAAATATGTTGCTCAATGGTAAAAACAAGAACAAATATAATAAATACAACAGTTTAAGTATGCACTCACTTGAGGAAGGCTGAAATTACATTGTAGAAGCAAACTTCTGGCCTTAGCCAAAATCTGGATTTTCTTTCTTGATGCAAAGTGCACCTCAACATTGTCGGCAAATTTGCTCAGTTTTTCATCCTTGCCGTCAGATGGAGATATGAACATAAGTTCCCTTAAGGCCGTCTCAAAGTCAATAGTGAGTTTCCTGATCTCCTGAAACTCGGCCAGTTTGGAAGCATCATCCGGTACAACCTGAATGAGGGACAAATGTATGAAATCGAGAAAATCCAATTTGGAAAACATTATACATCTTTTTAACTTTTTTTTAAAACTGGAGAAGTAGTCCATGTGTCCTGAATTTATTACTCACATTTCCTTTTAGGACATTTCCTAAAGTAAGGTTATGTCTGGAGTACATAACACAAAATGGATTCACAGTTTTTAGGAGAAAACACATATTGCTTTTAATATATTCAGTTCCTACAGAAATTCAAAAACAACCCTCAACTCTATTACCAGGAGAATGCTGTAGAAATACATAAAACATAACACCTCCTTAACTCTTGTCTGAAACTTCTAGCCATGCCAAATTATCCTCATAATTCTGGGACAGAAGAGAGTATAACATTATTGTTCACCAGGTACAAACTTCTTAGAATTATAATAATGATACACATGCTACTGAAAAACAAGGAAAATGTTATATAAGAATAGTTGTTAATGTACTGTACACAACGTTGAGCATCAGGCTAGTAGTAGTATATGACTAAGGTAATAAACCAGTCCTAGAGTAGCTAAGTGACTGCGAGAACAAATCTTGTTGTTAGACCAGTCATGCACAATGCCTGCTTTCTCACTGTATAAACTGCCTTGTGTGGAAATCGGATAGATGACCTAGCAAATTTGCTGAAACTAGCGGCAGTATCTGAAGGATGCCCTTCAATGGAGATAGGGGAAGTTGTTTGCATTTTCTAACAGCTAGTCCAATATAACATGACATACAGGATGGTGCTTTTGAGAGCATCTTAGAGAAGCCACATAGAAGTCCTAATATTGAGAAGTGAGAAGAGAAGAACTATAAGGAATTCAAAAAAAATAACAACAAACCTTAGAGAGGAAATTTGAAATTATCATATCTGACATCCTTGACCAAGTTAATCTTCCAAAACAGCACATCCAGGAACCATCGCGAAAGCACAAGAATTTGTTGACAAATTCAATGATCTGGACAATGTAAGAGTACATAATTTCACCATCCACTTTGCTACCCTGTCGACATGAAAAAGATTGGTGATATAAGAATTTCAAAGGCATGAGCATATAGTTTGTTTCATTCAATGTAGTACAAATACAAATGCACAAGATATAATCATGGATGCAATATTCATAATATGTACCTTAGGATCAACAGATGGAACCATTTTAAGAACTGCCTCTGAGACATGCCCCGATTCATGATTCATTTCTTCTGTAAATGAAGGAGTTGCGCTACAAGTGATTATTGGAGTAAGAGCGTATTTAGTAATCATATCTGCAACTTTCCCAAGCCCATAGTCGAGGATGTCAGCGACCTACAGAAACACCAATAACACAGTGCTGAGAAATTAATCCATAAGAAATGAAATGAAGAATATATCCGAAATTTATACTGAAGTTTAAATTGATAACAGGTCAATGTTAACTCACATTCAGGGCTTGCAAAACCGTGTAGAGCTCTAGCCCATCAATTCCGTCGATACTCAACTCGTGCTTTACATGAACTGCATTACCTTCTTCCTCAAACTGCACAGCACTCTCCATACACCTCAAGAGAAAATCTTGAATCTACATCCAAATCGAATTGCTCTAAAAAACAATCATAAAAATTCAATAGTATCACCATTGTATTACTGGTCGTTTATCCAAAATAGTAAGTTCCAGAATTCAATTTTGCCATAAACAAAGCAAAAGTTAAATTTACAGTAGTAATCTTTTGTTCTGCTCCACACAACAAACTAGGAAACATGAACTGATCAAGTCCAGTAGAAGAAGTTGACATATTGCAAAGCAAGACACTACTTAATAAGTAAAACCACTGGGATCCATTCAGCAATAAGAGAAACATAATCTTGTCCTAACCGAAGGTTTTTTAAGTGATCAAAAAGAAATCCGTTCACATTTCAAAGCCATTCAAAAGTTCAAAATAATTCTTATTTGCCCACAGAAATTGTATTTCGCTTACTTAGCCCTGAGACAAAGGCCTACAAATGTTATAATCGTAATTCATTCTCGTTTCTAACTAAGGCACATCCATATTTCATGGAAACTCCAAATCTCAATCTGTAAACAGGAAAAACAAAGAACATAAATAAAGTAGCTAGACATATTTCCTCCACTTTAGGTAAACCATATGTTAATTTTATATATGCCTTAACAAAGTCCACATATTTTTCTAATTCAATTCAATTGAACGTAGAGTTTGTGGGAAAAAATTAAAATATTTAAAACCCCTAATGAAATAACACTGAAGCAACTTGCACTTAATGTATCTATGTTTGTTTTATCATAGAATTGGGCCCTTCATTGGAAAAGTAAATATCAATTTGATTTCTTTCAGCATTCATCATTTTCATAAAAGCGTAGAGGTAAAAAGGATTCCTCGTCCAGTGAACTATATCAGTCATTCAAGTTAAACTACCCTCATCTTTGGTTAATCACCTAATGAATGCCAAAAAAATTGGAAACCAGAGAGGATAGTACAACGATGATAGCACAAATGTAATGAAGCTGACTTCTCTCATTCATGCCAACACCCTATATTATTTCCTACCTAGTCTTCTACATAAACGTTATTTGTAGCTAGCATAAAAAAATGACACTACAACTAAACTATGCAACGATTGTTTTAAGTCATTTACGCTTCTTAAGAATCAAGAATAATAATGCAACTGATCGCGCAAATTGTTAGCATGCATCCTGGAACATCCTAGTATACCTTAAACATATCTGAAATGGATAAAAATGAGGGTACTGATACATGACACAGTAAATATCAAAATTTCGGGACAATACCAATCACAGTGGCGGAGCCAGCATAATGGCCAGAGGGGACTATGGCCCCTCCAACAATTCCCGAATCCCTATTTTTTAAATTTTTTTTAAAAAAATCGTGTATAATTAGCATTATCCTATATTAGCATTAAAAAAATTATAAATTTTGTCGTACTAACCAAACACCAAAGATGCCTTCGATTTTTACTGTCAGCATGCTTCCTATATCTATTGTATTTACTTTTTTGCAGATACTTCGAGATGCTGTCTTTGATGAAGTCACTTACTGAGGATCGAACGGATCAGGTGGGCCCTTGTTGGCTTAGATTTTTTCTTGTTAGTATGCATGTTCAATTTTTTGTTTGGGCGCAACTAAAAATGACAGTTTTCTTATTTACAGTTCATACAAGTTCTTGAGAAGGAACTGGATGCAGTAGTGAAGGTTAAAGAAGAATTTACAAGGGACTTCTCTGAAGTGCATTCTTGTTCGTCTATCTTGTACTTGCTGTTTCGTTTATATCTCGTCACACAAATTTTCAATGTTGATTCAAATTAAACACTTACAACTTTGGTTAATCACTTAATGAATGCCTAAAAATTGGAAAACAGAAGGAAGGAAGGAATTCCCCAACATAACACCATAATCTAGAATAATTCTGCATCAAATCAGTTAGCAATTAACTTAATCAATAATAAATTAAAGGATAATAAACTCAAATTACCTCATCAAAACAGTCAGTCCACTGCTTTTTCAGAATACCATACACCGCCGGATCGCCTTCAACCGCCGATTCAGCATCGGAATTGCCCTTCAATCCAACTGCTTCCTTGAGCTCCCTCAGCCCCTCCGCCGCCTCCACCACTCTCCCATTTTTCATATCATCCCTAACCACCCCAAACTTCCTATCTAATTCCAAAACAACCCCAACAAAATCCAGGATTTCCTTTTTCTCCCTGGCCTCGCGCCTCTTGTCAACAATCTCTCGAATGATCCTCTCGACATCAGCCTCGATTGGCTGATCGGAAATGAGATTCAGAAGGGATACGATGTCGCCGGAGAGGTGGTCGGACTTGGAAACGACGTCGGAGCACTGAGAGAAGAGAGAGGAGAAGTCGGCGTGGTGGGAGAGGAGGTAGGATTGGACGGTGGATTTGATTCGGAGGGAGTGGGCGTCGAGGCGGGAGATGAGGAGGCGGAGATCCGGCGCCGACAACGGGGAAGAAGGGGATTCCGACGAAGAGAGAAGATCTTGGACGTTGATCGTGTCGAAGAGAACGTCCATGAGTCCACCACTGTATATGCACTGGAGTGATTTTAGGAGAACCCACGTTTGAAAATTAATTTCGTCAACAAAAATTGATTCTGGGTAAAGTTTTGGGGGAAAATTTGCAATAAATTCTCTAGACGTGGTGCATAATCTATAAATCAATGTTAGCAAACTGGGACCGGACCGGTCGGTCAGACCAGTTAAACCGAGAACCGTCGTCTATCACATCGATTCGATCCAACATTTAAACTCGAGAAAAAATGTGAAACGGGGTCGATCTGCAATGACAGGGGAAAACTTCGGTTGAACGGGAACAAACTAGTTAAAACCGGTTTAGTAGCAAGTATTGAAAAAAAACTTAAGAAAAAACGAAAATAAAACATCAGAAAAAAAAAAAAAAAATACTGAAATGATTTGTGCAGGGCACAAAATAGAACATACAGGCACATTTTCTTCACTTTTTCAAAACACAAAACTCAAACTCTATCAACTTCTTGAATTTCGTTTATCTAATCCCGACCAATTCGACAACAAGTCGGAGGTAAGTTTTACGTTTTTACGCTTGTTTCGTTATTAAGATTGCGAATATGAAAGAAAAAACAAATGAATCAATGTTAAATCTCCTGAGTTCGTGTAGAAAGGGGTGAATCATGTGGCTCTTTTTTTTTTTAGGCGAAATTGAATTAACGTGAATTTGTAAAAAAAAAATCCAAAAGCATGATTTCGTGTGAAATGAGGCGAGGTAATGTAATGAGTTCGCGCACAAGAACACAAACTCCGATACACTTTTCTCCTAGTTTCACATGAAATCATGTGAAATAGGTTTAACAGATATACTGAATCATCTCATGATTCTACTATATCAATTCAAATTAATAGAGTTACTCGTTAGGACTATATCTATGGGACTACAGATATAGAATGCCAATAGGTGAATTTCATCAATAGGAAATACATAGTTTTAGACAAGTACAAGAAAGACCACATCCTCAAGTTGGCTTGCCGATCACCTACACTAACATTTTTTTCTCCACATGTCGATCACACAACACATGAAACAAGAATTAGGAAGCCGCTCGTATGAAAAGGCGATCCAGATTTTAAATCCATCTAAATTATGAAGATACATTCCCCTCTTGAGGTTTTTATTCATATCGATCCGAAACTTTATCCTGATGTATTGTTGGAGTTCCAGCTTGTTGGGGTTCATGATAGTAATAAATTCTCCAACCTTACCACCAATTTGAGTGGCCATTTCCGTGATTCGTTTGGAGCACATTCTCATCATACGAATATCGCACGTCATGGGGCCGTCATCCAGTGCCAGATCTTGAAAGATTAAAGCATTCTTGTCTACAACCACGGACATCCACCTCATTTGCGTGCTCATAATCAAGGACGTGATCGAAGCCAAGAATGAATATGTTTGGTCCAAGGAATCGGAATCCCATCCTTTCACCGGCTGAAGAAGACGTATAACATTGGCTTTGAGCGAGTGAGATGAGATCTCCCTTGTGCACACTAGTCAGCCCACCAATTGGAATGTTTGGGATGACACCCTAGCCGCACTAGTATCACCATTAAGAGTCCGTCCATCTTCCTCTTCCTCCGTAAGCTATAAGCTTCTTGCCATAGCCATATTGATGATGAGAGATAGACGAAGACGTGGGTAACAAGCGAGACGGTCCAGCGCTGCCATCAATAGGGTTCTGGAGGGGGGAGCGGGAAAAAAGAATGATTAAAAGACTTCAAATACTGAAGAGAGAAAAGTCATGCTCAAAATAATGTATAATAAACCCCTTACCAAAATAGAAAATACGATTAAAAACAAATTAAAGTAATAGCATACGATTCAATCGACCGAATCCCTGGAAGACAAGATCAAATGATGAAGATAGTAGAAGAGGGCCTCAAACACACACGCCTCACTTGGAGAGAGAAATCAGCCTCATTGAAAAAGAAATTCGTTATGTGAGGAAGGCGGGGTGGGGTAACTGTTACATTTGATACTTCATAATTAACACAATTTTTGACAACATTGTTATTTATTTTGGCCATGAGATTTATTTCAGTTGGTTTTGGCAGTTTATTGATCCCCTCATAGCTAATTAATCATGCATTATTGTTGCGATAATATCCTGGCATCCAATCAGCTGCTTTGATACCATTTCTCTTACAACCAAGTATTTCTTGTATTCATTATATATATATATATATATATATATATATATATATATATATATATATATATATATATATATATATATATATATATATATATATATATATATATATATATATATATATATATATATATATATATATATATATATATATATATATATATATATATATATATATATATGTGTGTATGTGTATATATATATATATATATATAGTGAAAGAGATAGAGAGATATAGATATATATATATATAAATATAAAAAAAAAAAAAAAAAATAAATATATATATAAATATATATATATATATATATATATATATATATGTGTATAGGTGTAGGTGTGTGTATGAGTGTGTGTGTGTGTGTGTGTGTGTGTGTGTGTGTGTGTGTGTGTGTGTGTGTGTGTGTGTGTGTGTGTGTGTGTGTGTGTGTGTGTGTGTGTGTGTGTGTGTGT